ATTTTTTTTTTTTTACTTACTTTAATATGCTGTCAAAAAGGTAGCAATGGTGGATTCATCTGGCATCCTGTGCAGATTGTTTGGTTTATTTGGAGTTCCTAAATGTGGTGATATGTTTTGGTAGAAGTTGCTAAACAGATATCTTTGGGATTTGACTTAGGTGTGACACTAAACTGACAGATTTATTACTACTTTGCCTTCCTTTCAAACAGAAGCATCAAAGAAAGTAGTTTTGCTAATATTTATATATCCGCAACATTTCCCAATATAAATTATTTTCCCAATACAAAATTAGCTATTTTAAATATTTATAATTGGGCTCATAACTTTCTTCTCAACAGTAAAGAGAGAGAGAGCCAAATTTCTCAAGCTGTAAAGGGATTGTTGAACTTTTTATTTATCCCACCCACACTTTTTCCCCTTATGGCTCTTTTCCTTGTAACCTAATGCCTCTTTTCATAGCACCTGACCTGGTGTTTGAATGGGAGCATGGGCTCTTCCAGAATTCTTAAATGTCCTTATAACATGTCTGTTTCAAATCCCTTGGAAGCCCAAACTCAATGAGTCTTGTAGGATTTCACTACTATAGATTTGTATGTTTGCGTGATGTTTAAAGGGAGAGGAGCAAAGTGGATATAATCAAACCAATGGCTTCACTAAGCCTTTTAATCACTATTGAGATTTTTGATGCACGAAGTAAGCATTTAAAAAAAAAAAAAAGACCATCAGCAGAAACTTCACTTACAGAAAGCTCACTACTATAAATATGTCTTTTCCAAGTCTAACGGATTACATTTTTACAGGCTTTGTAATGATGCATTCAGGTTGTTTTAAACATACAATTGAAAAATCTAGTTCTATGACAGGAATTATTTCAGTATTTGCTTATTTTGATATCCCTGCATGTATTGACTTCTTATGATATAATTTAACATGCAATGTGAGGGTACTTGGTCACATTAAGAAATGCAAAACATCTGAAAAAATTAGAGGGGGAAAAATAAACTGCATTATAGGTAACTGTGCAAATTCCTATACAGGTAATAAATGGAGTAAATATAATAAAGAAATTTAACAGGCATTTGAAGTGGTTAAAGTTGAGGTTAATGATGGTAAGCATTAATACAGTTGGGAATGGCTGTGTTAAGAAAAATTATGAACTCTAATCCAAAGTGGTTATGAATACAGAATAAAAACATACCAGTAACAGGAACTTGCAAGGGGCTAAATCATTTCATGTCTGCCTAAAACTTTTTCTAACACCTGTCATTGGTTAACTCCAAAGAGGTCCTGGTTTACACAGAGGAACTTATCTTAAACTGTTATTTGGATTGGATTGTACTAGGTCAGCACAATTTTAAGCATCAAGGACCTGACATTGGACTTCACATCAAGAAAAAGAACAGGTGGCTGCACTTAGCAGAGTTGCAGGCTTCCAGGACTACTTTACACAGCCAGATATCTTCTGGAGCAGCCCATCTGAAAGATGGAGAGTCAGTTTGAAGACTTTTAAAATGGGCAGAGCTTTTAAAAATTTAAAGTGTTGAAGGCTTGAGTGCTGAAACCTTAATTCATTGCAAGGTGCTTATTTGAGATTGACTTGGTTGGGCACCACTGTTGCAGGAAAGAACTGTGGCTGTGAAGCATACTAGTGAAACTTGCTTTACCTTTTAATCTTCAAAATTTCATTCTGTCCTTGTTACTTTATACAGCTCCAAGCTGACCTCCTTGGGCTTGTCAGCTAATACAAGTCCTGTAGTTGAATTTGCAATAAATCTGTTTGTCTGTTTTTTCCAGGGCTTTCACTTCCTGTGGTGGGGGAGGGGGAGGAAAAAAGAGGTCAGCTTCACTGTATTGCTGAACCTCAAAGGCAAAATATTTGTGATTTGCTGCTCTAGCTTTGGCAGATCACAAGTGTGTTAAGGGCTTTAGCTATCAAATTTTATTTTGTAATAAAATCAACTTTTATTGCCTATATATTAATTTGCTTACTGGTTCCTATAATGCTTTATTTACACTGCCATTCTTAACATGAAGATTAAAGATGTGCAGGTGTTCCTGATTTGACAGAAAGAGCATATTGTCTGTTTTTTTTTGTATGAAGCATGGATCTCATTCGCTATCTTGATTATTAGATGCTGAAGGCCACTGTTGACTAGAAACCTGGTCAGTCCTAAAAAGTCACTCTTGTCCTGCCATTTTATATATTCTTCAAATACATTTCCTTTTGTTTTCCCTCTTTCACTGTGAAAGACATACAAATGGGAAGCTGATTGTATCATTTATGGAAATAGACAAACTTGTTCCCAGTGCAGATAAATGAACTAAGTAAGATATTTCTATTTTTCACTTTACTTTACATATTTAAAATAATAGAACCTAAACAATATTCAGAAGAATGAAATCCAGTATTAATTACAGCTCTGATCCTAAAAAAAACTTGAATGACTTGTGGAATATCTAAAGTAAGGGAATATCTTTAATGTTTGTAACTTAATCAATATATTTTTATGCAGTACTCAAACTGTTAGATAACCAGGTAGATCTTTAATCAGATACTTGATTTTTTTCAAGAATAGTCTCATACATTCTGTGACCCTGTTGGTAGTTTGGCTGTAAGTAACAAAAAAAGGAACACTGGCCATTTGTGTTCACAGTAATAAAATTTGCCTTGCACTCTTATGGAACAGCGACAGAAGATCAACAGACAGTGGAACAGCATGCGGTAACTATAGGGAGACTTTCTGCTATGACAATTACCTTAAGGCGTAATGTTTCTTTGTGACATGCAGAAGTCACATCTCCTATCCTTTTTATAATTGTAATTTGAGGAAAATTATAGAAGGTTTGTCTTCATTTTGTGATAGATGGCTCTTTCCTTTGCAGCCAAACAGGCAAAAAGTTAATGGCGAAGTGTCGAATGCTTATCCAGGAGAATCAAGAGCTTGGAAGGCAGCTGTCACAAGGACGCATTGCACAGCTTGAGGCAGAGTTGGCTTTACAGAAGAAATATAGTGAGGAACTTAAAAGCAGTCAGGATGGTAAGGGATTTTTTAAGAAAATGGAAACTGCCTTGCATCTGCACTGGCTTCATTTATTCTGCTGGTCATATGGCTATTGTGAATCATTCCATTTTATTGAGTACAAGACTATTTTTCTTTGCAGAATTAAGCTATATATATAAAAACAAAAAATAAAAAAAAAACTCCAAAGAATATTAAGACTGACTGCCAAGGAGAGAGTTGTAACTTCATGAAAGTGGGCACTAAGATTGAAACATAGTTTCCCTTGGAGGGTGGGGAGCTATTATATGGTATTCTTTGTTGAGGCTGCAAATACTACTGTTGAATTAGGCCTAAAACTGTTCAAATTGAATTTTTAAGTTCATGGGATGTTGAGGTCAAATTTGATTCACTTCAAGATTACTAAAACAAACAAAATCAGTAGAAATAATCAGGAAAGTTGTGCTTGCTGTCAGGATTTCACTGAAAAATAGGCTGTTACTTTTAAAATAAAACACTTCCCTGCAGAGAATCTGCAACTGAAGCTATTTGTAAACTGATTAGTTTATGGTTAAAAGGAAAGTAAAAGAATCCCAGACTTACAATTCCAAGTTCAGTGTGTTACAAAATTCCCTTACCTGATAGTGATGTTATAAGAGGCTTTCATAGGATGCATACTTCCTTTAAAAAAAAAAAAAAAAAAGGATTTAAACGTTGACTGTAGCTGAAACCCAATTGTCCAGTTTTAGTAGGTGAAGTCCTGACAACTATACAGATTTTATTGAATTATCCTCCTTTTGTGGTTTTTGGAGATGCAGTGTTTTTTTTTTTAATCTTGTTCTATGTAGGATTGTTATGTACAAAAAAGTAAGTTTATTGAGTGGTACATAGCATCTAGAACAGCAGTTCCCTGTTTTTTTTCCTTCCTGGTCCCAGCTGCTAAAATTTGAATTTCTTTTGAAGTAACTTCCCCAACTACTCTAGGCCAGCGTACTAGGGGATAATATTTTTGCAACTTCTGGCATTAATTTTCAGTGTTACTGGAAAGGACTACCTTTTTTATTCCCTAAAAAAGGAAGCCGTGTTTAAATTCCTTCACTTACTTCATCTAAATTTATCAAATGCTAATTAAGACAGGGCAAGCAAATTTCCTTTTTTAAGAATTACATCTGCTGATCTCTATGCTTGAACGTAGTATGGAGCTTTGAGCTTCAGAATGACTTGGAAATAATTGTTAATGCTCAGAACGCATTCTCCGTAGTAAACTAAATGTTCTTAGCAAGGTTATGAAAGGCCTGAGACCTTAGTAACTTCTAGCTTGATTCTATGCATAGTTGATCATTTTCTTTTCTGTAGCTGCACATGATCTGCATTGTCATTTTAGAATATTTTTTTCAGAATTAAAAAACTCCAACTTTTAAAACCAATACAGAAGCTTTAATCTGTAAAGTGACAGAAAACTGCATTGTGTTCTGTTCCTTGTATTGATGCCAGATGAGGTTTTTTTTGCCTAGTTTACAAGTAATTTTCTCCCCATTTGCCAACATTGTAGCCTCAGTGCAGACTGAGAGGAAATCAGTTTTCTCTTTATACATTACTGTTAGTGAAAATGCTGTAAACTTAGGTTAACTATTCTGTCAAGATTATCTAATATGCCAACCTTAAATTACTTTCTCTTGCATATCTTAGAGAAAAATAATCAAGACATTTGGCATTAAAGTAATTAATTTTGAACATCATGTGCCTTTTTATATTGCATAAACGTGTACTGTTCTTAGTTTAAATTTTTGTTATAACTGCTAAACGACTATACTTGGAAACTAATTTCTCTTCCAGATACATTTACTCTTATTTTTAAATAAGGCTTTCTTAACAGATCTGCAGCCTT